AGCCAGGAAGAGTGGAGATAAGCTGGAACCTGTCAGCACCTCCGCATCGGAATCTCACGCATTTAAAACAGCGTGACTTTAAGGGTATATTGGCTACCATTTCCTTTACACCTTCCAAATCCCATACAAATTTCTCTCTGAACTTCAAACCATTCTTATTAGCAACTTGTTACAGAATAAAACCACAAGTGAGGAGGTTTCTTGGCTTGTACAATAGCACTTAAAGTAGAGCTAAGTGCAGAACCCTGGTTTGCTTCCTCTTAGTAAAAATCAACTACTTTTCTTTTTCTCGATGCTCTGACCCCTTACACTTAATGCTAAAGTTCATTGTTAACCACTTTTTTTCACCTTTTTCTCTTAGCAACCATTTTTACTACATCTGGGCTTATTTTATAATATGAGGAAATGAAGTGTTGAGAACTAAAACAACCTATACTGATGTCTGCCATATGCAGGTTACACATTCAAATCACTATTGCTGTTTCACATGGTAATTAGTCCTCTGGGTGTGTGGCAATGGGGGATGGAAAGTTTATTTTGTAATTTTGTTCAAATGCCCCTAAGCCTTAATTCTCTAAATTAATGTTAATATAATTTTCCTGTTTATATTATTTAAAGATTTAATTTGAATAAACTTAGTTATAACTATACTTAAAAAAAAATAAATCATTTAGTTTTTATCACAACACTTTTTATTTGTCCCTATCATTCTACCTGTGTTTGATTTCCCTGGGTAATTTTTCTTTCAAACTTCATTGTCAGAGAAATAGTTTCAGCATATTCATTTGTTTAAATATTTTGATACACAGGTATCAATTACATATACTACTCTGTAGGCCTTTCCTACCTCCCCCCTACATAGGATATTTTTAAGTCATTGTTACTATGCTTGCTTTTAGCAAGTTGAATTTGAACTTGACACATTCCTAAAATCAGTTGTCCTATGCTTCACAGGATTGATAACATTGGACTTGTGTTGACATTAAAGTCCCTGAAGCATATATTGTTGGCTTAATTCTGAGAGATTGTGACTATTTCATTTGTCTTTGATCTCTTATTTTTATTTTTTGAAGTAAATTTATTACCCAAATGTTCACAGGAGCCCTTGCCTGTTTGATTTGTGATTAATCATGTATGAACTCCTTCAGGAATTGAACCTGAAATCATTAACAGGAATGTGGCATAAAAGCATTTTCTTTGTTCTTACTATTTAACCTGAAAACCATTACCTTTTTTTCTTCTCTTTTCAAAAAAAAAAAAAAAGTATTGATTGATTTTAGAGAAAGGAAGGAGAGAGAGGGGGGGAGGGCGGGAGGGAGAGGGAGAGAAACATCAATTTGTTGTTCCACTTATTTATGCATTCATTGGTTGATTCTTGTATATGCCCTGATTAGGGATCTAACCCACCCACAACCTTGGTGTAATCGGGAGTACACTAACCAACTGAGCTACCTGGCCTCGGCCAAACCCATCACTTTTGCCTTATTAATTTGTGAAAATATCAAACTAATACCTAAGCAGAATTATATATTAGTCTAAGTCCCATACATTATTGATTAAAGGCCTACTTGAATTGTATTATTTTTTTAAAGAGAGATTTTTATATATTTATTAATTTTTGCTTTCAGATGTGCTGTTTGTCATTTTTTATTCTGTATTTTTGGTGTAATATGTTGGAAGCCTTAGTAATGTTTTCCCTAGTCTTTTATATGATGTGATTTTTGAAGTAGGGTTCTTAAACTGCTTGAATATTACCCATAAAGTCAGACCCAAATGTACGGTGGGCAGAAGAACCTTAATATAAATATGCTGAGCCCCCAAAAAATGTCCACTGACTTCCTAAACACATATTTTCGTGAGTGCATGTGGCTTATCATTATGCCTTCTTGATTAGTAACACTCTCAGAAAACATACTTTTCCTTATTTGCAATCTACTTCTCCCAAAGCTTGACAGAATGGCTTTTGTTAACACATATGATGACTCCCTGTTATTTGATTTGCACCTTATGATTGTCAGTGTTTTTGTCCTCAAAGAGGGTTTTGTAAGTTTCTGTGGGCTTAACCCTCTATGTTCGATGATAGTACAAACCACTGTACTATTTCTTTGTTTCTATGGACAATGTAAAGATATATTAAGTCATTATCATATTAGAGTATATCAGAGAAATATTTCTTTTGAATCTCTTCTCTAGCTTATTTTAATATATTTTATTTATCATAAGTGAGTAGCTGTTTCAGCAAGATGTGTCTAATTGTGGATTTTATGATATTTATCTGAACCAGGAATCATGCTTCCTAAATTTGTGTATCCCTATATTTTATCAGTTCTGAAAAATTCTCAGTCATTATTTCTTTAATATTATCACCTTTTCTTTCTTTCTATTCTCTCATTTTGGAAAGGCAATTAAATATGTCAGACTTACCTCTTTACTAGTAACTTTTCTTAAGCAAATCTGAAGAACTATTCATCTATTATATATTTAATTTTAAATACTATATTGTTTTACTTAATTGTTTTTCAAATCAGTTTTGCCTTTTTTATTCATGTTTTTATTCCATCCTATATATCTTTAATAGTTTTAAACAAATTGATTTTGTTGTCCCTATGTGGTAATTACATTATCAGAAGTTCTCAACAATGAATATGATGATGAGGTTGACTTCTCCCTCTTACTAATAAGGAATAATTTTTGTGGGGCATAAAAAATGATCTGTGATTAGGAACTTATCTTCACTGGTCTTTGTCCCTGAGAACCCTTTTTGTCAGTTTGAGGAAATGTTCTATTTCTGATAGATGCTCAGGGTTATCAGAGGTGTGTTGCCACTTTTATATAAATTACTCCGAATAGGTGTTTTTGGACCAACATAGGTAATATAAATTAGAGCTATGAAACATGGTTGAAGGATCACTTATTATTTCCTATATTTTCTAGGGAGATATGTTTTTTTTTCAACAAGTTCTCTTCCCAAGAGAGGCAAACTTCCTCATTCGTCCCGTTTCTGATGGTAGATATTTTTCTGGCACTTAAGGGCCCCAGGTGCAGATAGCCAGCTCATTTCAAAGTCCTGCCTATCAGGGATGTGAGAATTAGCCTGAGGTCTCAATATGGCCATTAAAAATCTATTCCCTTGGTTTACTGAAAGTGGTTAAGACCTTGAAGTCATTAAAAATGTCAGTTAGTATTTTGAATTTTGCTTCTCTCTTTTGTTATTTTAAGACTAGACTATTATCTAGTAAAATGGTGGTAAAATTTAATTCTTGTTGTAGTTATTTTTGTGTTGCTTTTTTCTTTAAAATTCATCCTTGAAAATATTGAATCTAAAAAAGATATTTTTAAAATGTGTATTATTACCTCAAATACTGAACAGAGAATAACACAAAAGTTAGCACTGTGTTCCAGAAAAGTTATAGTTTTATAGGACTGTTGACTTTTTAAGCTTTTCTTTTTATTTCCAAGGTCATAGGTCTTTTAAAGGTTGTATAATTGATTTAATTCATCATATAATGGAGAAAAAGTTATGATACAGAAAAGTGCTTTTTTTCATTAGTACTTTAGGTAATGTTTGCTTTTATTTGGTTCCTTGCCATATTTCCCACTTTAAGGTATTTTTAATAAAAGGTATATATTAGCACTCCCCTATGAGAGTATATCACCATGGTACATGCTTCTCACATTGGTCACTTTATGGAATTTGAGCTATTAGGCTATAATTATCCTGAGATCTCAGGATCTCAGCCTTTTCTCTGTATTCACAGATTTTAATACTTCTTCCTGTTACCCTCTGTTCACCAGATCTCTTAATTCTTTAAAATTGACTTTCTTAAAATCCAATACATATGTGCCACAGCACCAGATGATCCAATTTTCTTTTCTGGCAGACACCATATAAAGCTCTGCCCATTGCGAAATTCAACAAGAGATACTAGTAACCTCAAGACTCCACTGGAAAAGCAAGTGGAAAGACTTGAGTTTCTCTGACCTTTTCATGAGATAACATGTCAGTCACTGATCTCAACTTTATCATTTTATAATATAAAGGAATAATAGGAATGCATTTATGAGGAAGTTTAAATTAATGGTTCCTTGGAACTTTTGGGGCATGGCTTGCTAGTAAGACATATTGTATTATTTCATAAAGTGGAAACTAAGAATGTGAATAGTAGACCTGAAGATCTGTGCTAGCACAAGCTTTGGTTTCTTAATAAGGTTTTCTAATTTCATCCTCTACCACATTTGCAATACTTCCTTTGAAATTATTAGCAATTTTTAATGTAGAGTAGAAATATCATACTAAATAACTGATCAAAAGTGAAAATGTACAAAGAAGAATTAAAACAGAGGCCAAGTACTGCTCTGGTATCAAGTTCCCTCCATTGCCCAACTGTGTTATCTTTGTTCCTGAACCTCCTTCCTTAGAGGTAATATGGAGCTAACAATGCTCCTTACTCTACATACAGTTTCGTTGTGAAGCAGCATTTAGCATCAGAGTCAGAAGTGCCATTCCACATGCTTTAAAGGCAGTAATAATCAATGAACAGAGGATTCTTAGAGCTAAAAAAAGAGGTCAAAGATTAAGAGGATATACTTGGGCACCTAGTGAGATTGTTAAGAGGACAGTTGTCAACTAGAAGGTCAGTAATATAAAATATAGGAAATTAAAAATTATCACAAAACAGTGAGAGTATTGGTAACAAAAAAGATATTAAGCTATTTGTAAAATAAGCAGAATTAAAAACAAAGTAATTTTTTGAAAAGTATTAGGATGCAACTAATATTAAATGACTATGTCTGAATATCTCAATGGTTTTTATATCCTTTATAAATCTGAAGTTAATTACTGAAGTTACAGAACTATGACTATAAAATATATAAAGAGGCACTCCCAAAATAATGTGATTTTGTCATTCATGTTGTAGTTCAAAGACTTGTACAAATTTAATGAAACTTATTCTTGAAAAATAATGCAATGGCTAACAATTCTGTTCTGTATTTTTTAGCATACGGCGGCATCAAGAAAGAAGAGCAATCATGACTCCCATTTTAACAGATTTTTCTGTCCGAATAACTGGAGCACCTGCCATCATTTTCACCAAAATAATTTCTCCAGAAAATATGCACACTGAGGTCAGAGCATAATTTAGGTCTCATTCTAGTCTGAATAATGGAGTAGCTCCTCTTTGTATGTTAGGGGTTTTCATATTTTCAGAACACAGAATATTAAATTAGCTTGTTAATAAGTTACTGTTGCAGCTATTATTGAGCACTTTCTAGTACTGTTCACTTATTTTATGTAATAACTCGTTCAATCCTCATAATAATTATATTTGCTTCTATTGCCCTCATTTTACAGATGGGAAAACTGAAGCATAAAAAACTAATCCAAATAACTTGTCCAAATGTTCACAAGTAGTAAATGGCAAGCATGCTTTGCACCCAAACGGTCTGGCTTCAGACTATACACAACCTGTACAACCTCTTTCTAATGAAAGCACCAATATTACTGACAGATAATTTAGAGTTCTCAATTGGATTACCTTACACAGTTTTCACAACATCCTTATGAGATAGATATTATTAGTAGCCATGTTTTATGAAGGAGGCAACAGCAAAAGAGATTAGGTTATTGACTTGATCCTTGTTAGCCAATTATTGGTGGGTCCAGGTTTCAAGTCTGATCACTGTGTATCAGTGACTGCATGCCTTGAGCAGAAATGTAATAATAATGTGGTTCATCATAACTTTTAAAAGCTCTTCATAGTATAAAAATTCCGAAAATTTACATGGAACCACAAAACACCCCCGAATAGCCACAGGAATCTTGAGAAAGAAGAACAAAGTTGGAGTCTCATACTACCTGACATCAAAGTATACTATAAGGCCATAGTAATCAAAACAGCACGATATTGGCACAATACCAGGCATATTGATCAATGGAACAGAATAAGAGCACAGAAATAAACCCACCCGTTTATGGTCAATTAATACTTGACACAGGAGGCAAGAACATACATTGGGAGTCTTTCAATAAATGGTATTGGGAAAATTAGACAGATCCATGAAAAAAAAGAAACTAGATGACCAAATTATACCATACATAAAATAAAACTCAAAATGGATTAAAGAGTTAAATGTCAGTTGTGAAACCATAAAAATCTCAGAAGAAAACATAGGTAGTAAACTCTGTGACATTTCTCTTAGCAAGGGAACCCTCATGCACTGTTGGTGGGAATGCAGATTGGTGCAGTATGGAGTTTCCTCAAAATATTAAAACCTGAACTGCCTTATGACCCAGTGAATGACTTCTAGGTGTATATCCAGAGAAAACCAAAACACTAATTCAAAAGAATGTATGCATCCCCATGTTCTTTACAGCATTATTTACAATAGCCAAATTTTGGAAGCAGCCTAAGTGTCCATCAGTAGATGGGTGGATAAAAGAGCTGTGGTACATTTACACAATGGAATACTATACAGCAATAAAAAAGAAGGATCTCTTACCCTTTGAGACAGCATGGAGGGACCTGGATAGTATTATGTTAAGTGAAATAAGTCACTTAGAAAAAGGCAAATACTATATGATTTCACTAACGTGTGGAATCTGAAGAACAAAATAAATGAACAAACAAAATTTAAACATTTGATATATACAGAGAACTGATGATTGCCAGAGGGAAGTGGGTTGAGGGACTGGGTAAAAAAGGTTAAGGGATTAAGAACTATAAATTGGTAGTTATAAAATAGTCACAGGGATATAAAGTACAGGGAATATAGTCAATATAACTATAATATTTACTATGTGTGGTGCCAGGTGCGTACTGGAAATATTGGGGAGAGCACTTTGTGAAGTATAAAATTACCTGACTACTGTGCAGTATGCCTAAAGCTAATACAAAATAATGTTGAATGTAAACCATAAAAAAAAAAAGAAAACAAGGTTCTTCATAGAAATTTGTTATACTGAAAACTTCATAAGTTTTGCGATCACTTAAAGGCAGTTTTATGAAAAGTTCAGAGAAATTAGGTACAAATTAAGTCTAGTAATCCACGCTACTATAACTTTCCATTCTTTCCCTGAATTTTTTATAAACAATATTTTTGTATATGTTATCTTATTTGATATTTATAATAGCCCTATACAGAAAGTTAGGTTAGATATAGTGTCTTATATATCCACAGATGTTATATAAAAATTAAATCTAATATCTTACTATTACTTAGTAACACAATTGCTTTAAAATACATGAATATATTCCTTTTCATCATTACCTGAGGAATAAAATAAGAATTCTAACTAATGAGTAAACACAAGGTACTTGTAGGGAAAAGGTTTTTTAACAAAAACAAAAAAAAGGGATAATCATTTTCGACATGCTGTTCTTTATGACTTTATTGAAACAACCTGCTCTAAGCTGTTTAGTTTGTATTTGGACCAGTCATAAGTCTCCTTAAATCCATTCCCTCGGATGATACTAATGGAGAAGGTTTGTGGATGTCTCCAAGCTTTTGAACATTGTCCACATGCACTTCATGACCAGAGGCAGGACTTCTGCTTATTAAGTGAAGCTTCTGGGTCGTTTTTCATTTCTGTTTTCCTTCTCTGAATGGTTTTCCAGCAAAGAATGTTCAAGTGACTCAGTTATGCAGAGCAGCACCAGTCAAGTAGTGGACATCTACCTAACGCTGCCAAGATTTTAGCAGTTTGAAGTTAAATTAATTAGTCTAGCTGTTTTTGGCTTCAGCACTCTGTTTTGTTATAAATCATTTGGAATGTATCCTTTGGAGAGTACTCAGACCATACCACTTGTGATTGTAATTGCCTGCCTACAATTGCCTGTTTACATCTGTCTGCTCAGCCAGATTGTAACCTCCTCAAGAGCAGGTTGCCCCTCAAGGTCAACCTTATTCTTTGTGATATTCCTACCACTCCAGTATACTGCATGGTAATTAGGAGGTGCTGAGTAAATATTTGTTGGTTTGAATGAATGAATAAGACTATGCTAACGTCCTCCATCATCACTTATTGAAACAATGAGATATGAAAATGCCAAATGTATATGAAATAGTGAAAAATTCTTACTGTTTGTTGCGCTATAACTAGCACACAGCCTGACGCATAGCAGGCCCTTATAAATGTTTATTAAATTAATCCATTAAACTGTGTCGAGTAGCTGGGCTCACCATTTCTGCTATTCTCATTAACAAATGAACTTGGGTCCCATGAGAATTCATCATTGTAGTAAAGGTCAAATAAGTAAGAATGATGAATTATCATCTAATGGCTATCATGTTTCTTTATCTGTATTCAACCTTTTTTTCCTTCAGGAGATTTTAGTGTGTGGCCATTCCTTGGAAGTGAATATAACCACAAACCTGGATTTCTTCCTGAGTGTGGCTCAAGTTCAACTCTTACATCAGTTAATAGTAGCAAATATGACTGGACTGGAACCATCAAGCAAGGCCACAGAGGTAACTATTACCTGATTTTGATTAGGCCTACTGCATTTGTGCCAACTTTACATTCATAATAGGAAAACTAAATTAAATGCTTTCTGCTAATTATTCTATACTTAATTTTATTCAAAAGGTGGTCATAAATCATTTTGGATTGGTATTCTTTACGTTTGAAATTTGTTTGGTCTCCTTTCCTATAATTTATCATGCATCTTTGCAAAATTGCTGCGGCCTCGCTTCAGAAAGCCTCTGTTAAAAACATGATTTTATTACCCTGTTGCAGTTTTGAAAGTACAATGCAAGAAACCATGGTGTAGTTTTTTACTTACTCAGATACATTAAAGGGATAAGGCCTCTTTTGGAAATGAACTGTGTAGGAGTACTATGGGAATATCTTCAATAAATAACTTCTACAGTGTTCGTTTCCCAGGCTCAGTGAAGAACGGACACAATCATAAAAGTTGAATGTCTGCCTAGAATGTTAATTCTGATCTGGTGTTCATTGGAAGCCTGCATTGTAACCACAAAGCATGTCCCATGAAACAAAGAAAGCTGCTTGTTAGATGCTTCTCAAGATAGGCTTTCTTTGCTTTTGTTTCCATACTTCTATGATCATATCTGTGCTTAGAGTAAATCGTCTATAAAAACTCAAGTGAAGAAACTGTTTATCTATGAAACAGTCATTCTTTTTGTCGGGAGTTATGCACAAGGCTCTAAATTCTATTTATTCAGGAGGGAGTGAAAGAAAAGGTATTCCCTGAGAGCCACTTGATGCTAGGCAGCGTGCCAGGTGTTTCCATGTGTGTGGACTCGTGTGTCTCCAAGCATGTTACCCCAGCCACCCTCTGAGGGAGAGGGGGCGCTATCATCACTTTACAGATCAGCATCTTGGGGCTCAGAGACTGTGCGGTGCGTAGCCTACTGATGTCACACATATGGCAGTGAGTGGTGGATCCGAGATTTTATTTAGGTCTTTTAAGTCTTTGCTCTTTCCTTTCTGCCGCAGTTCTTGTACCATAATTGTTACATTCGTTTCTCAATCTTCTTTACTAAAATTTTTTTTAATGATAAAGCTTTTAACTTTCATAGATGGATATTCTCCAACTAGATCATTTTTACCACCTGTGAATTCTGTTTGCTTATTATCTCTTTAAACAAGTCTTTTTAAATAAGAATATAATAATATGACATGAAAACAAGTAGAGCAGAAAATATTTCCCCCTGGCATTTTTGATGAAGTGCTTGAAGCAAGCTGGCTAGGAAATAGTATTTTACATTCTGTTAATTTCTGATGTGTTTAAGGAATTTACACAACTTAGCAAATTGATTCTTAACTATTTACCTGTCTACTTCTAATGCCTATTATTAGTAGTATCTAATTTCAGTATAAAGGGACACTCAGAGTTAGATTAGTTAACCCTTAGCTGAATGTTGAGTGGTCACTCATAGTTCCGTAAATGAACGAGTTGTTGTTTTTGCGGTTTTAAAAATGTGTCTATGGTCCTTTGTTCCTTCTAGGAGATAATGTTAAAAGTTCAGACAATACACTGAAATACAATGCAGACAATACACTGAAAAGTGGTTAAGATAGTAAATTCTATTTTATATGTATTTTACCACAATTTAAAAGAAAAAAGCTATAGGCTCTAATGAAGAGAACAATTGGTCCTGTCCCCAGCCTCAGTGGGATGTGTCTGTGAAAATTTTAATATTAAAAAAGACCTTCAGCCCGGCCCATGTGGCTCAGTGGTCAAGCATCAACCTGTGAACCAGGAGGACACGATTGGATTCCTGGTCAGGGCACATGCCCTAGTTGCTGGAGTGATCACCAGTAGGGGGTGTGCAAGAGACAGCTGATCTGTGATTCTCTCCCATCCTTGTTCTCTCTCCCTCTCCCTCTCCCTCTCCCACCCTCTCTTTGAAATCATTTTTTTTAAAAGAAGACCTTCAGTGAAATAGAAGAATATTTTTCTATTCATAAATCATTTAGCACAACCCACCTCCGATAGTTAAAGAACATAAAGATGTTTTTGCTGCATAGAATACAATATATTTTGAAAGACCTGGTGACCTTTAAAACAACCACACTACTCTAATTTTAAAGAATTCTTTTTGAGCCCTGGCTGGGTCGCTTAGTGGGTTGGAGCGTCATCCTATGCACCAAAAAGTCATGGGTTTAATTTCCGGTCAGGGCACATACCCAGGTTGCAGGTTTCATCCTCCATGGGTGTGCATGCAGGAGGCGGCCAAATGATGATTTTTTCTCACATTGATGTTTCTCTCTCTCTCCTCCCTCTTCCTCTCTCTCTAAAATCAATGAGAACATATCCTCGGGTGAGGATTTAAAGAAATCTTTTTGAGAAATAAAGAAATAAAATCAGTATGGCTGTGTTCCTGGGGAAGTGGAGGAAGGAGTACGTGTTTGTTAAAAATGTGTACCATGATGTTGTGAACATCTATTATTTCATAAAAATGATGGATTAATGATGGAAATCCCATTGATCAGGACTGTAGAAAGAACCCCATGAATTACAGGCAAGTAAATGTCACATCTGTTCTAAGCTCACCAACTGATGGAAGGTGTTAATATTTTTAGACAATCTTTGACAAGCTTTTATTTGAAAGATTAATTTTAAAATGTATTCAAGAATGTGGCAGAGGGATTTTTGTTAGCAGAGTAAACATTCCAAATTTTAAACAAAGGGGAAGAAAGATGGACAAATTTTTGGAAATAGAAGTAAAAACAATGGAACACTCTGAGGATTATTGCTAGGAGCAAACTTATGATGAAACTTCCATGTACGTAGCTAAAAGAGGAAGTACTTTAGGTAATAAATGACCAGCTGAAGGTTTAGGCAAATTGCCCCCAATATTGGTCAAAATTTTTCCAATACTTTTGCTCTGAAAAATGTACTTTATATGGTGATTGATACACTTGACTTTCTTCCTTTTCCTTGTTGGAATAATGACAAGGGAAGTGACCAGGCACTTGTTACCATGTGATTACAAACATGAGGATAAAAGCCATACACTAAAAATAGCAAAATGAGCAGATAAAGTGATCCTGAGATGTGAGTGACATCATGGAGCCTCTGCAACCAGCCCTGGACTTTAGCTTATGAGAAGGAAATAAGTAAATGGTTAAGCTACTAATATTTGGCTTTCTGTTACTTGAGGCCAAACTCAGTCCTCACTGATACAGATACTTTTACAGAATTTAAGTTAGAAATGTTAAAACCCTGGGAAAGTGCTGAGCACACCATAAAATTTGACGCTGAGTTAAATGCTTGCACTATGAATTAATAGATTGATTGCTTAATTTATAGGTATTCCTATTATTGTTCATTAAAATAGATAAGATGTATATGACATACACTTCAAAATAAATGGAAGAAATTGATGCTTTACTGTATCTTTCGCGGAGACAGGTGGGGTACATAAATGCTAGGCTGAAATGTTTAGGGACACAGGAATCCAGAGGAGTTGAGGTTGACCGAACTAGAGAACAATTTCAGCAGGTTGTTCGCTTCAAAGCTCAGATCCATTATATCTTGAGACATAAATAACATATCACATTGATGGTAGGTATATCTTGAGACATAAATAACATAGTTACATTTTCCTCTATTCTCATATAATACAATATAGTAGATTTAGTGTAGTATCAGATTAAGCATTTCAGTTAGGATTTGAAATAACTGTAGCATATAATATCACACATTGTTTCCTATAATTTCTTTTAAAATACAATCTTAAACCTGACTAAAGAGAGGGTGAGAGGACTAAGATTGCCCTGAGTTATGTTTATTTGGCTGTAGTAATTACTCTCTTATTCCTGAATCGCAAGTAATCATCTTATTAAGCCTACTTACAGAGGTAGTGTATGTAAGGAGTAACACATGCTCATTTTCAAATCAATGTTTTAGAGTAAATAAAACTTTTGTAGCAAAATAGAAACCATATTTTAGGGGCAGTGAATGGAACCACATCATTGAGGATCTGAAGGTGGGGTTCTTTGATCCACACGCTACATATCCTGGAGAAGAAAGAACAATTTATAACACTAATTGAGCATTTCTTCCTTTGCTTTTTCTCCTTCCTCCTCTCCCTCCTCCTCCTCCTCCTCCATGTAACCACTTGGTTTTAGGCATTTCCTTAGCTTTCCTTTCCTTTCGGTCTCTGGTAATGACTCACTTGGTATCCTGCCTCAAGCATGCTTGATACCTCTTTTTATACTCTTTTTGATAGCTAAAAATTATGTTTTTAAGCAAAATTTTATTTACAAGAAGTTTATTTTAGCCATCATAAAATCCACAGTACTTAGTCAGTGTTTCTTAAAATTTCTGAAGTAATGGATATTTCCACCAAAGTAAGGTTTATTTCCCCAGACTTTCTGCTATTATTTATTGTATTTGGCTTCTCTACAATCATCTAAAGAATTACGAACTCCATGAAGCACTCGCTGTGTCCTGCTGTCAATGAAGCATGGTGAAGTTACATTTTTAAAAAATGTAAGCAGGTCAGAGCAGGTACATCTTCATTTCCAGTCAGCTCCTGTCCTTTCAGGACTACTGTCTCCTCTCAAATCTTCTCCCCAAGTCTCCTTCATCTGTTCTTCTGTGTTTATTTTTTTTATTGCAATTGCTTTATTAACTCAAAAGAATGTCACAGTGGCTCAGTGCACTTAGGTATAATCTTGTAAGTGTTCAATTTGCCAGCCTTTTTTATACATTTTTGTAGGTCTACTTGTGACACTCAAGCACACTTTGGCACAGAGTTCTTTATTGTCATCAATTTCTTGTCATGCTTCTCTTTTGCAGTGACTCGTATCCACAGTATGTGGTTTTTGTAAAACAAACAAACAAAAAAAAACTTTATCTTTGACATCACCCCAAAGAAATCCATTGGGGTGAGGTAGTAGTGATTGTGGTGGCCATCCAATGGCCCTGGTCGACCTATTCACCTGTTGGGTAATCGTTCATTAAGAAACTAGCACACTTTTATGGCGTAGTGTA